CTGACTGCTGGCTACACACGGTACCCCATGGCAACCCACTGCCACAGGGGCTGCAGCCTAACTCACAGCAGCCCAGCTCCAGGTTGAGCTGTTGTTCAGCATCTTAGCTATGGAGGGCAGTGTCACTGGCCCTCATATGTGGGATCCAAACCGGGGCCCTCTGTTGTCCCAAACCAGTTCTTAACCATTGCGCCACTTGGCCGGCCCGAGCTCGCACTCTTGAGCATGCTCTTAATCATCTGAGCCACTCGGCCGGCCCCTACACTGAATGCATTTTTGCAGCTGCATAATACTTTTGGTTTTTTTATAGATACTATTTATAAATGTGTTTATAAATACTGTTATAATTTTTATAAATGTTCTTTCCATTAAGTAAGACACCCAGCAGGGAGGTAGGATGGGGCACTTTCCCAGTGCCCCATCCTATCTCTTTTTACTACTGTGCCAACCCTATTATAAAAAGATACCATACTACACTACATATAATCTCTATACTTGAAAGAAATTAAAAATTTTTGTTGTTGTTAATTTTTGTGGTGCTCTGTTTTTATCCTTTTATTAGTACGGTGAAGGTCTAACTTGATTAAGGTTCAAGAAAATTAAAAATCTGAGCTTCTAAATCACTTGCTTTAAGATGCTTAAAACTTCACAAAAAAGGATTCTTTACTTTAAAGTCACTTAGGCTTGCTTACGTAAATTGCCATACATCATGGATTTAAAATAGAATAATTTCTCATAGAATTGAAAGGTCCCTTTGAATCTCCTGACCTGATCTCCCCAACAAAGCAGAAGTACCTTCCGAGGCTTCTCTGAAAAACAGCTGTTCAGCTTCTAGTCTCTGCCTCCAGGGACGAGTATCTCACTGGTTCTTGTGTGAGTTACTATTCCCAAATCATGTCATTTAAAAATTCTTTCCAGTATTGGATCAAACTTAACCCCCATCCTTGTGGTGGCTTCTTTCTTTTGGAAATTCATGGAACATGTCTCTCTTCTATAAAGTTACCCTTCAGATATTTTAAGATTTTCCATGTTATACCCTTGACTGTTCTAGATATATTCTCGAATATCTGGCTATTACATGTTTTCTCTCTGATAAAACATCAGAATGACACGGTCCTTTTCTCCTGAGGTGTTTTTTCTTTCAGCTCATCAGCACTTTTTCCTTACTAATAATCAAATCTATGATCATATGTCTCATGGTATCTCTTACACACTGAGATAGTAAATAATCAGTAAGGCATTTATCAGATGCTTTCCTTTAGAACAGCGGTTCTCAGCCTATGGGTTGCGACCCCTTTGGGGGTCGAACGACCCTTTCACAGGGGTCGCCTAAGACCATCGGAAAACAAAAAGATATTTACATTACGATTCATAACAGTAGCAAAATTACAGTTATAGAGTAGCAACGAAAATAATTTTATGGTTGGGAGTCACCACAACATGAGGAACTGTATTAAGGGGTTACGGCATTAGGAAGGTTGAGAACCGCTGCTTTAGAAGAATCATCCCCAGCAGTAAGCCACCCCTACCTCTCCTCCAGCTCACCTTGTGCCCATCTCAGGATGCGTATGTTTACCGTCACCTCCTGTCTTCCTTTCAGCGGAGCAATAGCCATTCTGTGTCCTTTTGCTTTTTGTAATGATCCAGATGTACCTGAAAATAATTCTTTCAGATTCATAGATTTCTATAATTTCCTCTGGTCTATAGAAACTTTCAAACTTGCTATGCTTTCACTTATAGAAATTGTATGCACAATTTTGGGAGTAGATATGTATTCTGAGCATGTCTAATCTCAATTGTATTGTTTTATATTGCCTTGGTGCTTCTCAGTGGAGTAGTTTTCATTCAGTTTTGTGAATTACATAATCCTCTTACATGTCTCTTAATTTTAGATTTTCTGCCGAGGAACTGAGAGGAATTTAGATCTTTCCTGGAGTGAACTAAAGAAAGAAATTACCTTAGCTGTTGAAAATGAGGTGAGGTTTGGGTAAAGAAAGAATATATCCTTCCATTTTGATATTGGCAGATTGATACTGAGGAATTGATCAAATTGTTCACTGAACCTTGTTAGTAGGAAGTGTAAATGTTTAAACCTTTTAATTAGAGAATTAGATACATGTTTATATAGTCTGTGGCATGTAATGCATGAGGAATATTCATTTGGCTATAGCTTAGTAAAATAATGTTAGACAGCTATGTTTTGAGGACAGAGACCTCGAATGGTATCAAAAGTTTCTTTTTTTTTTTTCCTTTGCCAGCTCCAAGAAAGTGTAACAGAGTATGAATTTTCCCAGGAGGAGTTTCGAAATTTACAACAAGAATTCTGGTGCAAGTTTTATGCCTGCTGTCTTCAGTATCAAGAAGCCCTCTCTCATCCTCTTGCCCTCCATATGAATCCACACACAAACATGGTGTGCCTGCTGAAAAAAGTAAGGGAGCTGAAGCGTACAGAAAAACTCCTTTAGACAGTTCAGTGCGTCTTTCAGAATGCTCATCTGTTGTATGTTGCAGTTGGCTTTAGGACTTTGGTTTTTTCCTAAAATTATAGTTCATTTGTATTTAGATAGTCTTCTGAAATATTGATACTTTTTGTATTTTCTTTTATTTACCTTTTTTATTGAAGTGATAGCAAACTTAAGGTAAGAGTTAAAAGAATAGAACAAAGAACTTCTGTATACCCAGATTCACCGTTTAACTTCCATGTGCTTTGCTTCTATAATTTTTTTTCCTGAACCTCTTGAGAGCTAGTTGTAGACATCATGCCCCATTATCTTTACATATTTTAGCATGTATCTAACATCGGGAGTATTCTTACATAACCACAGCACAAATTAAAGATCAGGCAATTTGATGTTGGTATAATATTATATAGTTCCTATTCAGATTTCACCAATTGTGCCTATAATTCTTGATTTAGGATCCAATCCAAGATCTTGCATATATTTGTGTGTCATGTTTCTTTAGCTTAACTTCAAACTGTTGTCAGCCTTTCTTTGTCTTTCATGGCACTGACATGTTTTGAACATGGTGCCTGTTGTTTTGTAGAATGTCCCTCAATTTGGATTTGTCTGGTGCTTCCTCTTGATAAGATTCAGGCCTGAATTATTTTAGGCCTTTAAACAGTCACTGAAAAGAATGTAACTGGAAGATTTGTGTTTCCAGGGGTACCTGTCTTTCCTTGTGCCTTCCTCCTTAGTGGATCATTTGTATCTCCTGCCTGATGAGAGCCTTTTGACAGAGGATGAGATGACCATATCTGATGGTAATAGTTATTGTTCTGTCCACATTTGATCCCTTCCTACATGAACCCTATGCATTGTTTCAAATGGATGCAAAAACCATTGATTGCCCCTGTGACCTTTCCTGGTCAGTTTACCACATTATAGCTGTTTTAAGGAAAACTGAAGAGGTCTGAGCATCTCCAAGACCTCCGATAGATCCTTGGCATTTAATTATTCATCTTTTATTTTGGTACAGTATTAATCAGTAGCTCTTCATTTACTTGAGACATGAATGTTGACTTTCTCCTACTCGTAGATGTGAATGTTGCTCGGGATGTCATATGTCTTATAAAATGCCTTCGGCTGATTGGAGAATCAATGACTATGGATATGTCAGTAATGATGGAAATGAGTTGTTACAACGTCCAGTCTCCAGAAAAGGCTGCAGAACGCATCCTGGAAGGTCTGATCACTACTGACATGTAAGGAGAATTGAGGGTAAAGTGCATTTCCTAATGGACAAATAGCAATATTTAGTGCCAATGTCAGGTTTCTCATGTACATTCAAGTATGTTCAAAGTAGTGGCTGAAAGTTACAGTGAGTTGCCATGACCGTAAATAGGTGTTTCCGCTTTTAAACAGAAAATCTAACACATGAATTCAGGTCTGGAAACAGACTCATAAATTGTGGTATAGCTCTTAACTACCGTATTTCCCCATGTATAAGACGCACCCTTGGGCCGGCCGAGTGGCGTGTTGGTTAAGAGCTGGCTTGGGACACCAGCTCTGAGCAGCAGGGCCCCGGTTCGGATCCCACATGAGGGCCAGTGACACTGCGCTCTACAGCTAAGATAGTGAAAAACAACTCGACCTGGAGCTGGGCTGCCGTGAGTCACCAGCGACAGCGTAGGCTACAGCTCCTGCTGCAGTGGGCTGCCATAAGCTACCATGTGTGGCCGGCAGCCAGCGTGAGCGGCCGGCAGCCAGTGTGAGCTGCCAGGAGCCGCCGTGAGCGGCCATCCAGAGGCCGGCAACTGATCTGCCTCACCTGGGAAGAACGCAATGATAATACCAACATGGGCCAGTGAAGCAACGTCCTCCACAACTAGACTGAAGATCAAATGGACAGCAACTTGTCTGTTCCCCTTCCTCCGATTCCCCAGCACTGTTCCCCTCCCCCAATTCCCCAATAAAATCCCCCCCCCCAAAAAAAAAGGCACCCTTTTACGAAAAATTTGGGGTCTAAAAACTGAGTGCGTCTTATCCAGTGGTTGTATGAGCACAAAAACAAGCGGGAAATGCAAGTAAAAAAAAAATCTACAACCACTGTATAAGACGCACCTAGTTTTTAGACCCCAAATTTTTCTAAAAAGGGTGTGTCTTATACATGGGGAAATACGGGTATTAACTGACTTGTAAATTCTAAAACACAAAAATATTTTTCTCACATTCATGTCGTCTGTCATTTGTGAACAAAGTGAGACATTTGCTACGTGGACTGAAAGTATATTATATGCCAGAGTGATTATCCCCGCTCTATTATGTGGCTGCTTTTCTTGTTCCGTAGAGCATTTAGCTTTCAGGACTTATGCGTATACAGAGTTTGCCTTCTGTGTGTTTGGTAGTAATAGGAGGTTTCCAATTGTCCTTATAGAGAAAATGTGATGGAGGACATTTGTAGTAAACTGCAAGAGATTAGGAACCCAATCCATGCCATTGGACTTCTCATACGGGAAATGGATTATGAGACAGAAGTGGAAATGGAAAAGGGATTCAATCCAGGTAAATGACAAAACAACACACGTGCCTCTTTGACTTAGAAAAAAACGATGACACGTTTAACTCCTTTTTGTTGTTGTTAATTACAGCTCAGCCTTTGAACATTCGAATGAACCTTTCCCAGCTGTTTGGTAGTAGCACGGCAGGGCATCTTGTGTGCAGAGGTGTATGTAAAATTGCCAGTATTCGCTTCCTCATCTGCCGAGACCTGTTGATCTTACAGCAGCTATTAATGAGGCTAGGAGATGCAGTAAGTACTACCCAAGGGAAAAGTTGTAAAATCTACAACCTGGTGTAGACCTACAGGCACGTAGCAGGATGTCAGCCGTACGAGCACAGACTTCTGTCTTTGTTCGCTGCTCTGTCCCCTATGCTTGGCCTTTAGTAGGGGCTCTATAAATAGTTGTATTAGGAATGAGTAAGCATCATAATCTAAAATTACAGATCAAGAGCATACACGGAGCAGATTGTTTCACTATTACCCTTTGTATGTGTGGTGTTGGAAAATTTTCTCAGGTTGGCCCTCCCAAAATTGAGTATTATTAGTACTACTTGGGATGTGAAAACTGGGTACCATTTAATGTGGAGGAGAGAGGAAGAAGAAAAAATCCTGCAGTACAGGATTTACCCTAAGCACAGTTTTGAGATTGCAGAGTTTGTCTCCAGGGTCCTCCCAACTCCATTCTGGGCTTCCTTTCCCATCCTATTCTTAGGCTACCAGAGTCTAAAGACTCTACAGCAGACAGCCTACAGTCCTTGTCTCCCACCCTACTGAGTGTTCCATGTTCAAAACTTGTCTCTCCATCAGTAATCTCTTCTGAACCTCACCAAGAAGCAATCTAATTAAACTAATTCATGGTAGTGTGTAAATAATGGAAAGGACTTTGGTGTTCACAGAGGTATTAATACTTTTTAATCGGAATTTATTAACTCAAATACATTGCTAATGGTGGAATTTCAGGTCAAAACGGGAAAACATTTACCAAGATGATTTGTCTACGACAAGGAGAAACAGGAACCTTTCCTAAGACTCTGCCACTTAGGGCAGCCTTTGTTAATTTCTTTTCAGTCATTACAGATTCTTGAATTTTTTATTTTTGAAACTACGAGGTGTGATCAAAAACTACGGTGTTTAAATAAAAAAATTTATTATACAATAAAAGACACATTGCCATTAATCCCCCTCAAAATACACACACACACACACACACACACACACACACACACACACACACACACACTCCCATCGTTCTTGCTCTGAAGCGGTTCTGGAAGTCCTCTTTCTTGAGTGTCTTTAGTTGCACTGCCTTGATGTCCTGAATCAACTCAAAATGTTTACCTTTCATGGTCATTTTGACTTTGGGGAAGAGCCAGAAGTCTCACGGTTCCAGATCCGGTGAATAAGGTGAATAAGGACACACCACAATGTTTTTATTTGACAGAAATTGCCGTACCAGAAGCGATGTGTAACACGGACCCATTCCCTTTCCATTGTGATCAAAACATACGGTGAATGCTGCTGCCAAGTTCCATCCAACAGAAAGGCAGGGATCTTCAGTACGGGAAGTGGTGCATCAGACCTTAGTAACTGTGTGACAAGTTTCAACTTGTTTAGCGCAGTCAGTTGGGTATGAGCTACAGTTGAGAGAAGGTGTGCTTTCAAGTGTGCTGTAAATCATGGATCGTGAACAACGCATTAACCTGAAATGGGCAAATGGTTTCATCCTCCATCATCCATGTCACACATTGCTTCTGGCACGGCAATTTCTGTCAAGTAAAAACATTACGGTGTGTCCTCATCCACCTTATTCACTGGATCTGGCAACATGCGACTTCTGGCTCTTCCCCAAAGTCAAAATGATACAGGACATCGAGGCAGCCACGACAGCACAACTAAAGACACTCACGAAAGAGGACTTCCAGAACTTTTTCAGAAAATGGCAAGAACGATGGGATAAGTGCGTTCAAAGCAAGGGAGAGTATTTTGAGAGGAATTAAAGGCAATGTGTCTTTTACTGTAATAAATTGTTTTTTATTTAAATATTCACCATATTATTTGATCACACCTCATATAACTCGTTTTTTTCTAAACACAGAGGTAATGGTTCGTTGTAGAACCTTTATATGTAAACATAAAAATAAAAATTATTAGTAACCTACAAATGAAAACCACTGCTTACATTTTGGTGTACACCGTTTTTTTCCTATGCAAATCAGGGTTTTTTATTTGTTTTATTTATAAAATTAGGATATGCTACATAGTGTTATTTGTAATCTGGTGGTTTTTATTCTTCCACTTTACAAATTTCGTCAGCATTTTACATTATTAAGTATTCTATAGCATTTTTTGTAGTTACCTAGTACAATTGTAATTTCAACCAATCCCATTGGTGGCCATCCAGGTTGTTTCCATTTTTTCCTTTATAGCTATAACTTTCTGTACACCTTTGATTATATCTCTAGGATAAAGTTAAGAACTAAAATTGATTGGTCACAGGCTACACCCAATTTTAAGGCTTTTATCTGTACTGCCCAATTTTCCTCTACTGGTCATACTTATTTTTACCAAAGACCAAAAGCATAGCAAAGGACTTAGATTTCCCTGTTCCTCTTCTTGAATTCTGAACCCACAGATTTGATGAAAGTTAAGCTTTTCGATGTTTTCTTTTTCACCCTCAACTTCCATGACTTGGTGAGCTGTTTTGATTATTTCTATACTGTTAAATGTTTGGGTAGATATTTTTGCCACCTGCTACCCCAAAGTGTAATAGGTATATTGCTTTTGCATAGATACACGCGCGCGCGCATGTGGGCATGCATGTTACTTTTTTATATGTCCTTTGTAACAATGTTTGTTATTATATTTCATTCCTCCACCTGAACCTTAGGAGTTATCGTTACTAATTGCTGTTTACTGTCTCACCCTCCCACCCATCATGTATAGGTGATTTTGGGAGTTGGTCAGCTCTTTCAAGCTCAGCAAGACCTACTACATCGAACTGCTCCCCTATTCTTATCTTACCACCTCATTAAATGGGGAAGTCAGTGCTTGGCAACTGATGTTCCAGTTGACACACTGTGAGTTTCATTATTGTAATTATTATTAAATTGTGAGTTTAATTATTTTTTTCATTGTTTTGTAAGAAAAAATATTGTAAACATGCTGTAACATGTTTTGCCTTTAAAATTCAGAGAGCTTTTAGATGCTTCATTTTCTAAAGGTTGAAGGCAACTTACTAGAATAAAAATTATAAATAGATATTATATATGTGTATAATGTAAAGATAAGTTCTGTTGAAGGCAAAATAATAAGATGAGATCAGAGGGCAAGTTAGACTACACACAAAAATGTTGTGCTAGTTATTAAAGATGGGCTGAGATTCTTTATAACCAAAAAAAGAAAGAAAATCCAACACTTAAAGGATTCACATTTTCTTTTTTTTTTAATCTGTATTAAATTTACTGGGGTGACATTGGTTATTAAAATTGTATAGGAGTCTTGTGTACATTTCTATAATACATCATCTATATATTCTATTGTGTGTTCACCACCCAAAGTCAGTTCTTCCGTCACCATATGTTTGGTCTCCTTTACCCTCTCTTACCACCCTCTCCCCCCTTACCCTCCAGTAACCACTAAACTATTGTCTGCGTCAATGAGTTTTTGTTTGTTTGCCTTGTTCGTTTGTTGCTTTCAGTTTTATATGCCACATATGAGTGAAGTCATACCGTTCTCAACTGTTTCTGTCTAACTTATTTCGCTTAACAATAATCTCGAGATCCATCCATCTTGTCTCAAATGGCAGTGTTTCATCTTCTCTTGTGGTCAAGTAATATTACATTGTATATATACATATATACCACATCGTCTTCATCCAATCATCCATCAAAGGCCATTTCAGTTGTTTCCATGTCTTGGCCACAGTAAATAATGCTGCAGTGGACATAGGAGTACATACTTGTATATCTTTACGGATAAATGTTTTCAGATTTTTTGGGTAGATACCCAGAAGAGGGATTGCTGGGTCATATGGTAATTCTATTCTTAATTTTTTGAGGAACCTCCATACTATTTTCCATAGTGGCTGCACCAATTTGCGTTCCCATCAGCAGTGCATGAGGGTTCCTTTTTCTCCACAACCTCTCCAACACTTGTTATTATTTGTCTTGTTGATAATAGTCATTCTAACAAGTGTGAGGTGGTATCTCATTGTGGTTTGGATTTGCATTTCCCTCCCTAATAGCTAGAGGGATTCATATTTTCAATAAGATAAACCATCCTGGTTTCTCTGGCACGGTAAGGTTTTCATGGCATGGAGGTCTAAGAGAAATTTCTGCTCTGGCTTTTCACTGAAGGATCACTAAGTGATACCATGGGCAACAATCTAAACTCTTGACATGTTTTCCAGATTTTTTTCACACTTCTAATGGAGCATTCATGTGCAGTTTATTAATTACATTGACAGTGTTCTTGATAGGATAACTTGTTGAAGAAATATTTGGCATAGAAGTTATTAAAAGCTGTTTTTTTGTGTTTTTTTCCCCTTTTTCTCACAGGGAGTCTAATCTCCAACACTTATCAGTTCTGGAACTAACTGACTCTGGTACTTTAATGGCAAATAAGTTTGGTAAGGACTGAACTATGTATGCATTTGATTTTAAATTTGGCATTTATTGCATATTCATTAAAGTGGACTTTTGCCGCCTTTGCTATAGAAAGTTTGGCTAGGATCTGCTTTCACTTTCAGAGAGTATAAGCAAGCTGTGGCCTGAGACCTCTGGTTGTGACAATGGTCTTATGAAACCATAGTCCCAGATCAGGCGTAAATTAAGGGTGTCGCATATATGTGTATACACACTGCTGCTTTTCCAGTTTATTAATACTCCAGTGGTATATTCAACAAAATCATTTTTTTAATGTACTAAGTTCATGGTAGCTTTTATAATCTTGTCTTAACTAGCAGATATTCAAAAGGAGCCCCTCATGCTTGAGAACCATTCTGGAGAATTTGTTTTGTGTTGTTTTTGTATAAAACTTGGAATCTTGGGACTGTATTTATTACAAACACTTTCTAGGAAAGACACCTACGTCTAGTGAGACCAGTGGAAAAAAATGACTACAGTGTTGATTTAAGTGGCTTTTTTATTGCATTTATATAGTAGTTCACAATTTGCAAAGTACTTTTATGTATATTGCCATTGATTATACCAATGATGCATTTTATATTTTGAAATAATAATTGTTCTTTGTTATAAGCATAAAATGAGTTGGTAGACTGTCTTAAACGAAAATTGATATTACTTTCACAAGTTGGTGATTGTCATAACTTTTTCTTTTTAAGTATCTAGTCCTCAGACAATAGTGGAATTATTCTTCCAAGAAGTTGCAAGAAAACACATTGTATCTCATCTTTTCTCTCATCCAAAGACACCTCTGAGCCAAAATGGGTTGAACTGGCCTGAGATGATTACAGCAGTTACAAATTATTTATTGCAGCTCTTGTATCCTTTTATTTAAAAGCCAGTTGAAAGGTTTCTTCTATCTAAATAGTTTAAGGTGGTTCTTCTGCCTGTGTAATAAAGATTTTTAGTGAGGTTGAGTGCTTATCCCCCAACAAGAGATGACAATACGTATTTTCAGATATCCCAATTTTTATTTATTTATTTTTTGCTATGGAGTTGATCCAGATTTTATTGGTGTGCACACATTTAATACCTAAATCTCTTTTAAAGCATTTTACATTGATCAGATAATTACTTATTGAATGGCACTATATGCCAGGCACTGTGTTAGGTGCTGGGGGTTCACCAGCACCAACACTAGGCTTATGCAATGTATCAGCTAGAATTAGAAATGACCACCCAGGGATGAAATACATGCTTTAGCTCATAGTTAATTGAGCTCTAATCTAAGTGACTGGAATCCTAGCATATAACTTTTTCACTGTCTTTGTCTAATATTAAGGTTATATAGTTATGTCGAAAGAACATGTGCTCTGCCCCCTTTCCTTGATCTTCTTTTAAAAAAATTAAGCCATTTCATGTAGTTTGATTGCCCAGTTGTATATGTTTAAGCTTCACCAAAAAAGTGGAAAAACCTCCTTAACCAATGACTTAGATGGCCTAGCAATCCCGGTTGCCTCTTCCTAGAATGCTTGATGGGAAATTGTCAGTATGTACAATTGCAGGTGAGTACTGTTGAATGTTTCAGGTTTAATTATTCTTGTAAGGAATGGGATTTCTGGAATTTTTTTTTAATGTTACTTTTATTTTAATTGGGTTGATAATAACCATAATAATTTATACTCAATTGCACCAAAACATTCCAGAGATTTTTCTCTACTTTCCTCTTCACAGTATCATTCCTAACATAATTTTTTCTAGATTTTCTTTTTTTTTTTTTCTTTTCTTTTTTTTTTTAATTGTCTCTGTTTGGTTCTCTGTAACAAAACAAACACACCATTGTTTTCCTATAAATCCTTTACTGGAATCTAGTCATTGAACCAGTAAATAC